CCGCCTACTTTGCAGGCACGGGCAGCGGCTCTGCCCCTCTGCAGGCCGCTGGGTCTCTTCTGCAGGTGGGTTGCAGGTCTGCCTACCTTGCAGGCGCGGGGGGGGGGGGCGTCTCTACCCTTCTGCAGGCCGCTGGGCCTGTTCTGTCTGTCAGTTGCAGGTCTGGCCTGTTCTGTTGGTGATCGCAGGTCCTCCTACCTTGCAGGCGCGTGGGGCTGCTCTGCCCCTCCAAGGGTTGCTGGACCTATTCTGCCGGTGGGTCGCAGGTCTGCCTACCTTGCAGGCGTGTTTGGCAGCTCTGCCGCTCTGCGGGACACTGGGCCTGTTCTGTCGGTGGTCACAGTTCCGCTTACCTTGCAGGCGTGGGGAGAGGGGGCGGCTCTGCCCCTCAGCAGGCCGCTGTGCCTGTTCTGCCGGTGGTCAATGCCGCAGTCTGGCTGGGCACAATCAGGAGCCACTTGTCAAAAGAAACTAACTTTATTTTTAGAACCACACACACCAAACAAAACAGCCTCTCAGGAAAAACCCTCAGAGCCTCAACTGCCACCACCGGCTTTCCACAAGCCTCTCTCTCCCCCCCAAGCTTCTCTCCACCTCCCACAATCCTCCTGCTCTTGAGGCCGATTGGCTGGGTCACATGGGTGGAGCCAAAAAAGTCCCCCAATGAGCAGCTCCGTGGTCTGAAAGGGCAGGGAAACAGCCCAATGAGCATCACCGCAGAGGAGCCAATCAGCTAGATGTTGCTGGGGCTGCTGTGAGCCAATCATCAGCCGGAAGCTGGAAGTTTGCTGGGGCCCCTTCGGCTGTGGCTCTCAACATCTCCCCCTCTCTGTTTAAACAAAAAGCATGTGGCTTAGGGACCGTGCCTGCCTTAGGTTGTCCAATAGTACATATGGTCCTTACCCGTTAGGTTGGTACCATTGCAATTGGATCTTACCCGTCATTGACTACCGGTCCAATATACAGCCACACCTGTGGAGAGGTCTTTGTACCAGCGGGGGGGTGAGGTTCTTTGCCTCACCTCTGTTGGCCCCCAAATTTTAGCTGGACAATCATGACAAGCAGAAGGGAGGAAGATACACCAAGCCAATTGATGGCTCCTTTTGGAAAAATTGTACCACCGATGACATCATCAGCAAAAATACCCCAACACTACCACAAGTTGCTGCACCAACAGATAGTTCACAATGCATACAGGTGAGTTCACAATGTGTCCAGGCAAGTTCTGCAAGCAGTTCAGTGATGGCTATTGCAGAAGCTGTAGATTGGTTTTATCTTTGACTTCACCAGCACTGGGATGAAGATAGGAATTCTGGCAATGATGGCTAAAGAAAAAATTATGTAACATTACAGAAGGCACTAAAAGAAAACAATTTTCATAACAATTTACATTGTCTTCACCGGCACTGGATGAAGATAGGAATTCTGGCAATAATGGCTAAAGAAAAAATTATGTAACATTACAGAAGGCACTAAAAGAAAACAATTTTCTTAACAATTTACATTATCTTTAAGAGAATTATTAAATATAATGTAAAGGAAAGGTGAAAGTAAACAAACAGATCTGTTAACCTCCTTTTTTGTTTACATATTAAAACAATACTCAACAGTTGTTTACCCAATTTAAATTAAACCATATAAATCACGTGAAAAAAAATATTTGGATCCATTTTATCATGAGCGCTCATCATATATGATATATGGACATACATACATTCAAACATATAACACAAAACACAAGTGTGCACACATAATATAATACATACAACACATAACATTATAGTAAAGGCCTTATAACTTTTTACAGGTGAAATCTCCATTGCAATGTTTAAAAACTCTATAGTCAAAAAATAGAACTGATCAGCAAAACATTAACCTAGGTCTGTATGAGCTCAAAAAACAAAATAGAACTTCATGATATGGCAAAGGGCAATAATAAAATAGATATTGAAAAAAGCATCCTGGTTCTGTTGCAGATGTAAGAATAGCCAAACTGGAGTTTTGGATATCAGTTGTTATGGATTTGAGCCAAATCATCTTCTTTTTGGTCTGTAGAAATCGCTTTAGTTAATCTTTCTGGAATCCAAATCGGCTGCTGTTCTGCCTGTGGAAACACATAAACAGACCCCCGACTCCAGACAATCACTGGGTCAGGACCTTGGTTAATCTCTCTGGAATCAAAATCTCTCTGAAACAAAATTGGAACAACACAAAATCATTATAATAGCCTCCTGAAATGTCCATCCGTCCTTTCTCCCTATCTGTTCCTCAGATGTGAGCGGTTTTTCTTCCATCTTACACATCTCCAGGGACAGGCACCTTAAAACAAAAGTGAAACAAAATAACAAAAGAGGAATCTTAAAATGGCTACCCATCCTCTCGCCCTGCCCTCAGGGGCGAGCAGTTTCACTTACCCTCAGTCGCTCCCCGTGCGAGCCACCAAATGCCGCAGTCTGGCTGGGCACAATCAGGAGCCACTTGTCAAACGAAACTAACTTTATTTTTAGAACCACACACGCCAAACAAAACAGCCTCTCAGGAAAAACCTTCAGAGCCTCAACTGTCACCACCGGCTTTCCACAAGCCTCTCTCTCCCCCCCAATCTTCTCTCCACCTCCCACAATCCTCCTGCTCTTGAGGCCGATTGGCTGGGTCATGTGGGCGGAGCCAAAAAAGTCCCCCAATGAGCAGCTCCGTGGTCTGAAAGGGCAGGGAAACAGCCCAATGAGCATCACCGCAGAGGAGCCAATCAGCTAGATGTTGCTGGGGCCGCTGTGAGCCAATCATCAACCGGAAGCTGGAAGTTTGCTGGGGCCCCTTCGGCTGTGGCTCTCAACAGTCACAGTTCCGCCTACCTTGCAGGCGCGGGGGGAGGGGGCGGCTCTGCCCCTCAGCAGGCCGCTGGGCCTGTTCTGCCAGTGGGTCGCTGGTCCGCCTACCTTGCAGGTGTGGTTGGCAGCTCTGCCCCTCCACGGGCCACTGGGCCTGTTCTGTCGGTGGGTCGCAGGTCCGCCTACCTTGCCGGAGTGGTTCCACCCACTTCTTTTAAAAATATATTTTTTAGCTGTTGAGGTATATTTATTTATTTATTTATTTATTTATATGTGGTGCTGAGAATTGAACCCAGTGCCTCACACATGCTAGGTAAGCACCCTACCATCCTGTCACTACTCCAGTCCCATTGCCCACCCACTTTTGAGCACATATTTGATTTGTTGTGGTGCCTCATTTTTTTCTAACAGTAGCCACTCCCACTTATAGTGTACTATTTCTTAGCCATTCTACAGTGTGAAGATTCATATTTTTATAACTTCATTTCATGGTTATCTTAAGGCTTTCATAAGATTTATATTAATCTCCAATACAATGCGGATTTGAGGATTCAAGTTCTAAGTTCAAAGCCATTGATTTTTCTCAAAGCAAATACTTGTAAACATATTGACTTGAGAGCTGATGTTGTATATATTGACTTAATTAGTAAACTTGGGTGTTCAAAAAATCATAGGTGTGCATTTTATTTTTTAACATAAGAAACTCTGCTTTCTTTTGAAGAAAGGGTTTCACAAAATGTAGCCTGGTGACCTCATGAGGTGTTCCTGATAAAATCATTGGAACAAAATTAACATTTGGAAATTCTTTTCAGTAACCCTTATTTTACTGTGCTATAGAAAAATATAACTAGAATACCGAAAGTATTGGAACATTTCTGGAGACAGAGAAAAAGAGCTGATGTCATGTGGTTCCTAGAAAAATAGTATATCTCCTGCAAACATTTCCAAGGTTTCATGAGAAGTTCCTAAGAGGCATGGAGGGAGAAGCACCAAACCTATTGTTCTCTCTATAAACTTTCACCAGTGCCTATCACCACATGTCATACAGAAACTCTTGCAATTCCTACTTCCATCTTTGCCACCCATCCCCTTACTATGCACAATGCAAGAATTATGACTCAGAACCCCATTGGCATCCACACAGCCTGTTTCTGCAACAAAGAACCCTAATGAGAATTCACACACCCTTCTTAAGTGATGTCATCAGGCTATAAATAGCAATTATTTGTCCCTCTCATAGATTTTAAAATGATTGCTGGCCCCAAAAGAAGGAAAACCTATGGTTAAATAAAAAGGGAGACAAAGTGTGGGGTATGCCATTTTGCCACCAATTATGTGTGAAAACCCTAGGCCATAGAGCTGGAGGAAGAAACATAGTTCTAGTAGTTAGGAGAAAAGGGAAAGTATTCCGTGGAGCTGGCCGAAGCAAAATTACTTGGGTGCTGCCTACATAGCCTTCATGCAGGAGCCATGGATTTCCATCCTGGTTGTAATACACCAATAGTGGGGAAAGTACTTATATCCTTTGGGTCTTTGTCCTTAACTCTAAAATAGCAGTTGCAGTGCTTCCGCTAAGTGCATTGGGAAATGAACGAGATAACGTATGAACGAGAGAACATCAGATATTTTTTTTAGTTGTAGCTTTATTTTTTAGACACTGTAGCTTTATTTTATTTATTTAGTTTTATGTGGAAATCCGTGCCTCTTAAGTGCCAGGCAAGTGCTCTAGCACTGAGCCACAACCCCAAGGAGATCATCAGATTTTTAAGTGATCAGATGACGTCACTCAAGAATGGTGTGCTTGTGTGTGTGTGCCACTGAATTGTGTATGTTAGTTGTATTCTGTTTCTATTGTCTATTTTAAAACTGTTGATGGCGGGCCCTGTGTGTGGGTGCCTGTGGTCACCGCCCCCCCTTGTGCTGGCAGCAGGAGCTCGCCCCTAGTGGACCACAGGGTGGCAGGCAGTGCAAGGTGGTGCAGGGCGGCGGGATCAGGGGGCGCTGTGAGCGGACCAAGGGTAGACCATGTGCTGGGCACCCGGAAGCCAAGCCGGCTCGTGGGGGTGGCGCTAGAGCAGGCCTGAGCAGTGGAGAAGCTCCTGGCGCACGAGGCGCGGGTCTGCAGCGTAGCAGCTCCAGGCAGCAGCGGCTGGTGAGGACACTGCCCCCATGGACGACGCTGTGGAGATGCTTTGCCGTCCCAACAACGTGGAGATCCTGCCACCGTCAAAAATACGGAGGAATTTAGAAGGTAATGTCCAAAATGCCTCCGGGAGTAGAGCTCTAAAAGGGAAGAAACCTCGTTTTAATGTGTCACTGGTTTGTTTAACTAAAAGATTTACGGATCTCATCAAATCCGCTCCTGGGGGCATCCTGGACTTAAACAAGGCTGCGACAACCCTGGGAGTACCGAAACGCAGACTCTATGACATTACGGGCGTCTTGAATGGAATTGACTTCGTGGAAAAGAAATCCAGGAACCACGTTCGATGGACAGGATCTGACCTTAGCAACTCCGAGGCCTTAACCCAGAAGCAGAAGCTGCAGGAGGAGCTTGCAAACTTAGCAGCAATGGAAGGTGCTTTGGATGAGTTGATTAAGGATTGTGCTCAGCAGTTGTTTGAGTTAACGGATGACAAAACCAATGAAAATTTGGCCTATGTGACGTATCAGGATGTCCTCAGCATTGACGACTTTCATGAACAGATTGTCATTGCCGTCAGAGCTCCAGAGGCAACCACGTTGGATGTTTTAGCTCCGGGAGAGGACAGTCTCACAGTTCACGTAAAGAGCACCAGAGGACCCATCGACGTGTACTTGTGTGAAATGGAGCAGAACCACTCAAGTGGCGAGACATCTGACGGAGCAGAGACCTCTTCATCTGAAAGCCAACATCCAGAAGGCCATGAGGAAGGGGAAAACTCCCCTCAGCAAAGTGAAGATTTGCCTGAAGTAAACAACATTTGATAGCATTTGAGGATTGATGGATTGAATGTTTTTCACAACTTCCTATTTGGATGAATGGTGCGTAGATTTGACTCTGAGAACAAAAAATCATCCAGGAAGTTCTCTCCCTCTCAGCAGCATTAAGGCCAGTAGTCTCTTTGACTAGCTCCTTACCTAGATGACTGGATAACTATGGTTTGTGCATTCAGAACTAATGCTTTTAAAGTTATTCACTGTTTGGGGGAGGGAAATTGACATCTTTCCTCCAGGAATAACTTCATAACAAAGAGGATCACAGAACCAGATGGTCAGGTCTGGCACAGACAGTTTCTGGTATAGTCTGCATCTCTCTCTCTCTTCCCCCCTCCCCACCTATTAGCTATCTATAATATCAGGATTCAATCTGACCTAATTATAAAGTCATGAAATATAATTTGCTCTAATTCAGTCTCCAGTATTTCTTCATCCCCCTCCTCTCCTCCCTCCCCACTATTCCCTTCAATCTACTCTACTGATCTTTCTGCTATTTATTTTTATTTCTCTCTCTTTTTTTAGTTAGTGTCTTGTGGATACATGTGATGGTGAGATCACTGTGGTATAATATGTACATAGGAAAGTTAGGTTAGATACATTCCGCTGTTCTTCTCTTATTCCATCCCTCTCTCTTTCCTCTCCCTCAATCCCTTTGATATGGTCTACAGATCTTCTAGTTTGCTGGAACCTGAATTTTCACTTTCTTTCTCTCCTTTTTTCTTCCCACTTATTTTGGACTAGCTTCTGCATATCAGAGAAAACATTCAATGTTTGACTATCTGAGTGTGTCTTATTTCACTTAGCATGGTAGTCTCCAGTTCCATCCATTTACAAGCAAATGCCTTAATCTCATTCTTCCTTATGCTGAGTAATATTTTATTGTGTATACATACCACATTTCTTTATTCATTTGTTGAAGGGCACATATTTATAATAGCTTGGCTATTGTAAATCATGCTGGTATAAAGGTTGATGTGCTCTGCCTTCTTTTAAGCATTATGTTGTATAGCACAAAATAATTGCCTTACACTACGGGTTCACATTTGCAGTTAAGTTGTACATTATGTAGGAGTATACATGGATCTAAATATGATGTTCTTGTGTATATCTGTATAATGTTTAGATTACTTATGATATGTCTAAATGTCCTTTTCACCTTGTGTAAGCCATTAAGGCATATATGGAAGGTTACAGACAAATGCTTGTATTTTCTTGTATGAGGGTTACAGGAGAGTTTTCCAGACTTTCACACGTAGAAGTATCATAAATGTTCTATACATTTAAATTCATGGATTTAATTAAAGCATTTTAATGTGGTTCCCAGTGCTGAAATTGAAGTCAAATACTTCTTGATGTCAAGCTACCTACAAAGCTATTGTGTCCCAGCAGATTGGTGGCATACCCCAAGGCTTTAGGGGAAAGTACAGAAATGCCATCAGGTAATAGCTTAATTCACTAAGACATGAATTCCATCATGAGAAATTGGAAACTGTGTTAAGATTTTGTGATGTATGTCTGTTTGCAACCTTGCTGCTCAGTCAGAGGAGTTTTTCTATGCATGAGTTGTACTCTGCCCTCTCTCCAGCTCCATCCCCACTCCAAGACCTAGCTATTTCTACCTCAGTGGGCTGTGCCTCAGTTTACTCAGTAATTTACCATTAGATTGTGACTCCATGAGGGACATGCATATAAATTAAATCACATAGTATGTTAATTGTGAATAAAATTTCTTTCACTAGGTATGCATTTGATTTTCAGCCATGTTCTTTTATTTATTTTATTTTTTTGTGGTACCAGGGATTGAATTAGGGGCATTCAACCACTGAGCCATGTCCCCAGCCCTGTTTATTATTTTATTTAGAGACAGGGTCTTAGGGCCTTGCTAAATTGCTGAAGCTGGCTTTGAACTCACGATCCTCCTGCCTCAGCCTCCCTTGCCACTGGGATTACAGGCATGTACTACCACACCCAGCACAGCCATGTTCTTGTGTATATCAGTAATTTATTCCTATTTACTGCTCAGTAGTATCTAAATGTATGTGCATAGCAAGAACAGTTCTTTCATCTATTTTTCGATTTAATAGTGTTTCAGCTCTTTTCAGGCATCAGTAATTATGAATAAATTCATCATAAATATTCATCAATAGGATTGGAATGAACATGAACATTTTCTGTTTGTCATTCTGGGGATCAAAACCGGGGTCTGATCATGGTAAACATGGTAAACATACCTCTACCACTGAGCTATGTCCCCAGAAACTTAGTATAACTTTTTATTCTCACAGAGAAAATCTTATAGTGGGATTTCTGGGTTAGTAAGTAAGCAAATATTTCATTATATAAGAAAACTACCAAGCTGTTTTCCAAAGTGATTATCATTTTTCTGTCCCCTGTGAAAGCAACCTATGATAGTTTCAGTGGCACTGCTTCCTAGAGAGCTCTCAGTGATGTCAGACTTTGGGATTCCTGTGTGTTTAGGGAAATTTAATTGAACAGGGGAGAATTTCTAGCATGTTAGAATAATATTGTGTTTGTGTATGCAGGATGAGGGTGAAAATAAGAAGCAACTCTTTCATGGCCACAGATTTAACATAAAATAATTTAGAAGGTTTAGAGTATTCTCTTCAGTGCTTAGGAGTTCAGATAACTTCACTATTACATGGTGTTATGTCAGTAGTAAGAGTATGAGTATGAGCATATAGAATACATACAATAATACTTGCTTCCTCCACAGCACTGAAGTATATGCATTACTTTGCTAAGGCTGCCATGAAAGAGTATCACAGATGGATAGCTTAAACATCAGAAATTCATTTTCTCACAGTTCTGAGGCAAGGGGGCTAAGACAACAAGGCACATTTTTGCACTCACATAATTTCCTGGAGGCTGACACAGGGACATCATTCATCCATCACACTAGATCCAGTGGAGCACATTCCTCCTTTCTCTGCCTCAAGGTACAGCAGTGAGGTATTAAACTTGCTCATTGCATTGGGGTATGGCCAGGGGTTCCTCACCAGTTCAGTGACCCATTGCAAGTGCTATCTATCACAGAGCACCTCCACTTCAGTGTCCAACTGTGGGATGAAACATATGAAGCTGAATCAATGCTCGTCTTGCTTTTTTGCTTCATCTGCACTGTAGAGCTGTTTGGATCCATTTGGTTTCATTGTCTTCTTACTGGCCCCATGCACGATTGTGTCACAAGACAAATATCCAACTGTACTAGTGATCCTCAAGGCCATCTTAGCCATCACAGAGCTTGTTAGAGACTGATTGACAAGTTAGAGACAACCTATTGTGTTGTGAAGAATTGCTTTACCATTATTTAACCATTAACATTATGTTAATTTTTCTAGTTTCACACTCTGTATGGGGTAGTTTTTGGCATATAACACAGCTTAGGGTTTGCCGTGTCAGACCTGTGTTTTTTCACAAACCAACTTTAGATGTCATTTTCTAACACCAACACTTCATTATAATGATTATGTAAATCAAATAACTTTCTGAACTCAAATTCATTTAAAAAGGTAATCTGGGGGTTGGGGTTGGGGTTCAGTGGTAGAGTGCTTGCCTTACACGTGTGAGGTAGTGGGTTTGATCTTCAGCACCACATAAAAATAAATAAAGTTATAAAAAGTAACTGATATCCCTACTTGGAGTCAAAATCAGTATCACTTACTAGATGTAACATAAAGAGATAACCTAAAAATTGAAAATTTACAGTCAGGCATGATGGTCCCATCTTAACATCACATCAAGGTGAAACTGAGGCAGGAGGTTCACAAGTTCCAAATCAGCCTTCCCAACTTAGCAAGATCATTTAAAAATTTACAAAAGCAAGAGGGCTTAAGGATATCACTTGGTGGTAGTGCATACCTGTGTTCAATCCCTAGTACTGCAAAAAAAGTGAAATAAAATAAATTTATAAAACAACTGGGAAATTTGAAATAAATAATGGAATATAACTACCAAACACAATCCACTGACAATTTACTTATTTTGTATGTTGTCTCATACATTTCCCAAAACACTAACTTAGGGGAAATATTGCAATTTCTATTTTATAGTTGGGGACACAGACCCAAAGATATAAGTCCATTTCCCACCAGGACATGTGCCAGAACCAGGATGGAAGTCCCTGACTGCTGCATGCCACAGCCAGTAAGAAAAGTGTGTGGGCAAAACACAAGTAACATTACTACATCCAGCTGCACAGACTACTTTCCCCTTTTCCCTATTATGTAATTCTTTCATCCAGTTCTGTGGCCTAGGATTTTCATATGTAATTGGTGGCACATTGGGATACCTTATCCTTTGTCTCCTTTTTTATTTGAATTTGAGGTTTTGAGATCTTTTGGAACAGGACATGTTTTTAAAATATTATCAGAGGGAAAAATAATTACTATTTATAGCCTGGAACATCACTTAAGAATGTGTGTGGATACTCAGTAGAACATATTTGTTTTGGAATTGCCTTTCTGCATGTGTATGTGTCAATGGGGCTCTGAGATGTAATTCTTGCATTGTTCAGAGTAATAGGGGTATATGTTTGGAACAGGCAGTAGGAAGGTCTTCTGCATGACATGTGATGATAGGGTGAGTGTTTATGGAGAGAAAAAGGGTTTGTTGCTTCTCTCTAGGTGCCACTTATTAAATTCTGAAGATACAGCAGAAGTGTTCGCAGGACATGTTTTAACATTTTTTCAATGCACATGTGACAACAATTCTTTCTTTGTCTCCACAAATATTCCAAATGGCTTCAGTATATTAGTTATATTTTTCTAAAGCAGAGTAAAGTAAGTGCATTAGTAAAAGATTTTTTAAATGGTAGTTTTTGTCCCAATGTTTTCATCATAGACACCATATGAAGTCAGTGTGTCATATTTTGAGAAACCCATTCAAGACCAAAACAAAGCCTTTTAGTTGAAACAAAATATACACACATATTTCTTTTTTTTACAAACCCATTAAGCTACTACTAAATT